TTTATTTATATTCATAATATTTTTTTTAATTATATAATTTTTTTTAATATATTTATTTTTTATATTATATTAATTGTTTATATATAAATAATATTTCAATTTTATTTATTTATTTTTACAAATAAAATTTTTTTTTTTTTCTTTAATATCATTTTTTTTATTGGTTTTTATAGCATATTTTTTTATTTTATATAAGTAATAAAATTAAAATCGTTTTTTATATTTATTTTTATTTTTATTGTTATAATATATAATAATTTTTGTTATTAAATATTTATTTTTTATAAATAAATTATATTTTTATAAAATTTAATTTAAAATATTATAATTATTTTTAAATTAGATAATAATTCAATATATAATATTTAACATTATTTATAATATTTTTTTTTATTTTGTTTAATTTAATTTTTATTATTTTATGTTTTTTTTTTAATTTTATAAATATAAAAAACATTAATTCATATTGTTTTTTATTAATATCTTAAATTATATTTTTTTTATTTTATTTAATATTTATAATCATATAAAAAATAAAATAAAATAAAATGTATAAAAAATTAAAATTTATTATTTATTAATTTAATAATATTTTTTAAAAAAATTAAAGAATAATAATATTTATTATCTAATTAATAAAATTACCTCAAAAAAAAATTACATAAATTAAAAACAAATAATGCATACTCCATAATTTAATCAACAGGAAACCTAAAAAAACATATATTAATTATACAAAACAAAATAAAAATATAATCAAATTATACTTGATAATAACTAAATATAAAATGATGAATAAATAAATATAAAATTAATGAATTAATTAAAGATGTAAAAATTTAAAAATTAAAATAAAAAAAAAAAAAATAAAAAAAAAATAAAGTAGACTAATTAAGAACTTGGACAAAATAACCCTTGAAGAAAAAAACTTCTTAAAATAAATTTTTATAGAATCAAAGAAGTAATAAAACGAAAGTTTTGAAGAAGAAGAAAAATAATAATAATTATAATAATAATAATAATAATAATAATAGTAATATGATGAAGATTTTTCTAAAAAAAAGGAAGAAATTTTAAAATAAAACCTATAAATAAAAAAGACTAAAAACATCTCTAAAAAATATGACAGATTTATTCCTTCTAGAAATTATTCTAAACTAAATATTGCTTTAACTTAAGTTCACGAAATAAATGAAAACTTTAACGTACTTTCCTAAAATCTAAAAGGTTAACATATTAAAAAATAATCAAAAATATCTATAGAAGAATTGTTTAAAAAACATATATTTAATATAAATACTTAAAATGATAACAGAAATTTTAATATATTTGCATTTTCAGAAAAAAATATTTCCAATTAAGAAAATAATATTTATACTTCTCCTTTTTAAATATCTAATAATATGTTCAGAAATGATCCTGTTTAAAAATAATAATATAGAAACATTAATAAAATTCCTTTTAAAGTTTTAGATGCACCTTCTTTATAAGATGACTTTTACTTGAATTTAATTGATTGGTCGAATACTAATATTTTAGCAGTTGCTCTAGGATCTTGTCTTTATTTATGGAAACCTTAAAATAATTAAGTCATAAAATTTTGCGATCTCAAAAATTAAGATACAATTACCAGTGTAAATTGGCATCCTAGAGGTCAATAAATTTCTATAGGAACTTCAAAAGGAATTATAGAAATAAGAGACGCTGAAAAGAATACATAAATAAGAGCATTGTAAGGACATTCTGCAAGAATAGGATCTTTAGCATGGTCTTAAAATATTTTAGCTAGCGGTTCAAGAGACAAAAATATTATTTTAAGAGATATAAGATAAAAAAGAGATGAAATTAGAAAATTAATTAGCCATTAATAAGAAATTTGCGGTCTAAAATGGAGTTTTGATGAATAATAATTAGCATCAGGAGGAAATGATAACAAATTAAATATATGGAATAATCATTTAGATGTTCCTATATGTAAATTTTATGAACATCAAGCTGCTGTAAAAGCTATAGCATGGTCTCCACATAAACATAGTAAAAATATATATATATATATATATATATATATATATATATATACTTATATATATTATTATTAATATTTATGTTTTTTTTTTAATATATATTTATTTTTATATGTTTTCTTTTATTTAGGTCTTTTAGCTTCAGGTGGTGGTACTTAAGATAGATGTATTAGATTCTGGAATACTCTAAGTAATTAATAATTAGATTATATAGATAGTTAATCTTAAGTATGCAATTTAATGTTTGGAAAAAGTGTAAATGAAATTGTTAGTACTCATGGTTATTCATAAAATTAAATCATATTATGGAAATATCCTTCTATGCAAAAAATTATAGAATTAACTGGACATACTTCAAGGGTACTTTTTCTTGCAATGAGTCCTGATGGATAAACTATAGTTACAGGTGCAGGAGATGAAACTTTAAGGTTTTGGAATATTTTTCCTTCTGTAGATTAGGGAGTTAAATATAGTAGTACTTTAGTTGATGATATTAGAGATTTAAGGTGATATTATTTGTATTTAATTTTATTTCTTTTATTTTTTTTGATGTGAATATTAATGGGTTTTGAAAAGAAGAAAATTTAGTTTACTTTTTATTTAATTAATTTACTTTTTTCTTTTCTTTATACTTTAATTTATTAATATATATTTATCATTTATAATTATTCTTTTTCCTTTTGAATCTAAAACAATAAAAAATTAAATACTTATAATTTTTGTTTAAAAAAAATAAAATTATTTAATAATAATTATTTTTATATTTATTTTTTAAATAAAAATTATTTATAATTAACAAACATTCTTTTTAAAAAAAAAATATTATATATATTGTTTAAATTTTCTATAAAATATATTTTTTATACCAATTTTTTTTAAGAAATAATATATTTTTAATTAAATTATTTAAAAATAAATAATAAATAATTAATTATTTAAATTAAATTATATTTGATTTCTCTAAAAAAATGAATTATATTTGAAAAAAATATATTTTATTAATTAAAGAAATTTAAATTTTTTTATTTTAATTTAATAAGTATATTAATATAAAAATAATTATTAATATTTAATATAATATTCATAAGAAAAAAATAAAAAAAAAAATAAATT